TGAGTGTCCCCAAGGGTGGCGCCTCCACCCCCTGTCTGGGCAGCCTATTCCAGTGGTCTGTCACCCTCAGATTGAAGAACTTTTTCCTAACATCTAACCTAAATCTGCCCTTTTCTAGCTTAAAGCCATGAGCCCTCCTCATGTCACTACAAACCTTTGTGAATAGTCCCTCCCCTGCTTTCTTATAGGCCCCTTTCAGGCACTCAAAGGTTCTTATAAGGTTCCCTCCAGAGCCTCCTCTCCTCCAGACTGAAGAACCCTGGATGGCAGAGGGGTGTTTCTCTCAAGCATCTGGCTGGACATGTAGCACATACCTTGGTTGTAGGACAAGAATTGTCTTCTTCAGGGCTTGGGCAGGAGTAGCACCCTCTGTCTTGATGTTGGTCTGCGTGTTGCCTCCTGTAATTCCTTTAACACGTGGCAAGATTGGGAGTTTTTAGTTTTTTTTCTTCCTTGATGAATTCTGTGTGTTTTCCAGCAGGTTGCTCTGTGCCTGTGTTCATCCTCTCATTGCTCCTTTGCAGTGCACCAAGCTTGGCTCCCACCTGAACACCTTGCTGGACCACTACCAGCAGTTCCAGGAGGTGGCAGAGTCCCTCAGGACGTGGCTGCAGGAGAGCGAAGCTGGTGTTGGAAATCTGCTCTCAGAGACAGTTTCTTCAGACCCGGCTGTTCTGCAGGAGCAGCTCGCCAGCACTAAGGTTTGGGTCTGTGGGGTGTCTCCTGGGGGAGCCCTGGGGCCTCTTTGGGGATTTGGCTGCTGCTCTGAGCAGTCAGCAGCAGGAAGAGACTGGACTCTTTTGGTGGTTTTTACTGGTTGAGAGCAAAGAGAGACCTGCAAGCTCAGCAGGTCCCAGGGCTGCACATGAAGTGGAGCCAGAGACTCTTCTGAGAGGTGCTCACAGCAAGGACCAGGGGCTCCAGTCATGGACTGCCACAGGGGACATCTCAGTGGGACATCTGGGGGATGTTCTTCCCCCATGAGGATGGCTGGGCCCTGGGACAGCCCAGAGCTTCTGACCCAGCTCTGCCTGCAGCACAGGGTTGGACCTTCTGTCCTATGTTACTGTATTTCCTAATGATTTGGTGATTAAGTGAAGAGCAGGGTTTAAATGGAGCCCTGAGCTCCTCACGGGTGCAGGGGACCCACCACTGATGTTGTTTTATCTTGTGTCAAAGCAGCAGCTGCAGGGAGACCTTGCTGAGCATCAGGTGCCTGTGGAGAAGCTCCAGAAAGCAGCTCGGGCTCTGCTGGAGGTCCAAGGGGAGCCAGCCCCGGACCACGGGCACATTCAGGAGACAACAGGTACAGAGCAAAGGAGCCAACTGCATTAGCAGGGGTGCTTGGGGAGGCTGTGAAAACAAACCAGGGAGGGAGGAGGGATGAAACCTCCCACTGTTGGTGGAAGGTGGGGTAAAGGTGCCCAGCTACACATCTTCAGGGCTTGCATCTGCACATGGGGAGGGCTGTGATCCAGCTCGGGGTCCCCTGTGTTGCTGCTGAGTTTGGGGATGGGGATTCATCATCAGTGAGAGCTTGGCAGGAGCCAAAGGTGATCCTTGGTGCCCTCTGAGCACCAGGTGAGAAGTTCTTTGCCACTCATCCTCCTTGGTGCTGACCTCTGCAGATGCCATCGTGAGCCGCTTCCAGAGCCTCTCCCAGCAGCTGGCCGAGCGCTCAGACCTGCTGCAGAAATCCATCGCCCAGTCCCAGAGCGTCCAGGAGAGCCTGGAGAACCTTCTCCAGTCAGTGGCTGACATTGAGAAGAACCTGGAGAGGGAGCAGCCAGCCACACTCTCCTCTGCCTCCATCCAGGACTCGCTCGCCACGAGCGCGGTAAGGCTGGTCCCCCACCCCTCCCCTCGAGCCCCGGGGCAGGCAGCTGCTGGGGCTGAGCTGCAGTGTTCTGAAAGCACAAAAAAGACCCTAAAAAGGGATCTTGGAATCGTTGAGTGCTTTGGGTTGGAAGGGATCTTTCAAGGTCATCTGGTCCAACCCCCTGCAGGGAGCAGGGACATCTGCAGCTAGAGCAGGGTGCTCAGAGCCCCGGCCAACCTCCCCTGGAATGGTTCCAGGGATGGGGCAGCGACCACCTCTCTGGGCAGCCTGGGCCAGGGGCATCAGCATCAAAAATCTCTTCCTGATCTCTACTCTAAATCTCCCTTTTTGAGTTTCAAACCATCCCCCCTTGTCCTGTCCCAACAGGCCCTGCTCAAAAGTTTGTCCCCATCTTTCTGACAGGCCCCTTGGAAGTCCTGAAAGGCCCCCAGGAGTTCTCCTTATATATGGACAGCACCTTTATTTAATTTCTTTAAGCCAATACAGAGACCTGTCCAAAGTGTCCTTCCTTCTTTGCTAACAAGTAAGGCTTGGTGATCAGGCACCAGGGAAAAGCAGAGAGGGTTGGGGACATCAGAAAGGAAAAGAAAATTGGGATGGAAAACTATTCTGGCCTGACGCTGGTCGTGTGGAAGCACGTGCTGCTTCCAGGGCTGGCCCAGCCTCTTGATGCCAGTTCAGTCTTGCTCCAGACCCTTCCTGAAACAGCCCCTCTCTGTGCCTGTGCTCACTGCAGAAGCTGAAGCAGGACATCGCCCGGCAGAGGAGCTGCCTGGAGGCCACCCGTGAGATGGTGACCCGCTTCATGGAGGGGGCCGACAGCCCCACGGCCTCTGCCCTGCAGGGCAAGCTGGCGGAGGTGACAGAGCACTTTGGGAGGCTGTGCCAGCAGCAGCAGGACAGGGAGGACGTGCTGAAGGGGCTGCTCCCCAAGGTGGAGCGCTACGAGGAGCTCTGGGAGCAGCTGCAGCACTTCACGGAGAGCAGAGCGCGGGCGCTGGCGGCCGGCAACCAGCCCGAGCGGGACATGGCCCAGTTCTCCCAGCACCTCCAGGTGAGGGCCAGGGGGAGAAGCATCCACCTGCACTGGGTCTCTGGGGTGTTTCTTTCAAAAGGGATCTCCAGCCAGGCTCTTAGGGGCCAGATCAAATAGAGCGAGGCTTTACCAGTTAAAGACTCTGTGGGGTTACTACAGCCAGATCCCCAAATGCTGGCAGCAAGTGTGGTGTGGGGTGTGACAAAGCCCTCAGAGATGCTGTGGGACATGGTGGCTGGTCGTGGCTGCATGGGATTCCTCCTCCTGACTCAGGAGTGCTCTGCTAGAGGGGGTGGTTTGGCCATGGCCTCAGCAATGCTCTAAGCTGGCATAAAACCAGACACTTGTGCTGAGCAGGGGTTGGTTTGGCTTGGTCTAAGGTCCCCCATCCTGTTCACTGCATGGCCTTGCAGCAGGGAGGGTAGGACGTGCTCCTGCAGCTGCTTCAAGTATTTGCTGAGCTGGATCTGGAGGAGCAGATGGGACTGAGCCATTCCTGTCTGTTTGGTGCTGGTGCAGTTCCTGGCACTGCCCAGGGAGGGTCTCTCCAGGACAGTGCAGTTCATCCCCTCTGCCCGAGCGTGCTGGTGGGGACACGGCTGACATCACCTTTTGCTCTTGGCAGGAGCTGAATTCAGAGATGAGGCAGCACCAGGAGGACCTGGCCACCCTCGAGCAACTGGCTGCAGAACTGGACTCCTGCAGCTTTGCCTCCAGTGCCTCCCAGCAGCAGGAGAAGCTGCAGAGCCTGAAGAAAGACTTCCTGCAGCTGCAGAAGGTGGCAAAAGAGAGGTGAGTCCCAACGACCCCTCCACCCCCTGGGGAGATGAGCTTGGAGGTGGCTTTGTGGTCAGAGCAAGACCTTGTGGAGATCCCCTCTCCACGGGGAGGCACGAGCCAACTCTTCCTGCCTCTCTCCTCCCACAGCAGGAGACATGAGGCAGCTCACTCCAGCTGACGCTTTAAAAAAAGCCTTGGCTGGGGGCGTTGTGAAACATTCCTGGTGCTGCAGGAGCTGGTGCTCCAGCACTTCCCGGGGTGTGGGCTGCCACAGCTCCAGCCCACAGCCTCTCTCTGAGGGGGAGAGGGAGCCTGCCCCAGGCACTGGCACTCCAGGAGGTGACAGAGTGACGTGTCCCCAGGGTGCCCCTCAAGTGTGGGGATAAAGGAGCTTTAGTAGCAACTTGAGCTTGAATCAACCGTGGCAGCTTGAGCAGAGTCAGAGAGGCAAAAGTGAGGGCCCACCCAGCTGGAAGAGGAGGAGAAGGCTCCAGGGAGAGACCTTCTGGTGGCCTTTCAGGACTTCAAAAGGCCTGTCAGAAAGCTGGGGACAAACTTTTTTGCAGGGCCTGTTGGGACATGATTAAGGGTGATGGTTTTGAAATAAAGGAGGGAGATTTAGGCTAGAGAGAAGGAAGAAATTTTTGGCACTGAGGGTGTTGAGCCCCTGGCCCAGGCTGCCCAGAGAGGTGGTCGCTGCCCCATCCCTGGAACCATCCCAGGGGAGGTTGGTTTGGGCTCTGAGCACCCGGCTCTAGCTGCAGATGGCACTGTCCCTGCAGGGGGTTGGACCAGATGACCTTGAAAGGTCCCTTCAACCCAAACCAGTCTGATTCTGTGGCATCTCATGTGCTTCCCTGAGCTGGGAGGTCACAGCTCCCAGGCTGTATCTCCAGCATTCCCTGGAGAATACCTGGAAGGTGATGGGGAAAAGCAGATGGATCTTGTGATGGTCCCCAATAGCTCAGGCTGCTCGTGGCTGCAGTTGGCGAGGAGGGGCTGTGGCTCCCAGCCTGGGGCTGCCTCCTTCCTCCAGGATGAGCTGAATAGATGCAAGCTGTGGACAGGGAAGGGGGGGCAGCCCAGCCTGGCCTCCCCCAGGCTGCAGCTGCCTGGGGCGAGGCGACATGAATGAGCCTTGTCTTCCCAACAGCTTCCCCTGGGACAAAGAGCCAGGCACAGAGCCAGGCAGGTTGGCACCCGTGGTCCCGTGGCCGTTGGCTACCACAGAGGTGCTGGAGTGGCCCTAAAAATGCCACTGGCTGTGGTTTAGGGGGGCCAGCAGCAGCTGAGGGGCAGGCTGGGACGTGCACCCCTCCTTGGCTGGCGCTGCATGAGCTGTTCCTAAGCAACATCTAATAATAATAATAAAAAGAAGGGCTCCTAGAGACACAACTGTGCCACATTCAAACGGGGGTAATTGCAAGGCAGAGCACGAGCTCTGACTCTCTGAAATCTTTTCACTTGCAGAGAAAAGGATGCATCGTCCTGCCAGGAGCAACTGGATGAATTTCGGAAGCTGGTCGGGGCCATGAGGAAGTGGCTGAGGGAGAGTGAAGGCAAAATGCCACCTGCTGAGACCTCCCTGGGCACCCAGGAGCTGCACCAGCGCAGGCAGCAGATCCAGGTGGGCAGAGGGAGACAAAACCAGGCTGGGAAAGTTGGCTGCTGGTGTGGAAGTGCTGCTGTGTGGAGTAAATCCCAGGAAGAGGAGCCCTGAGAGGTGTTTTATGGTCTCGGGAATCCTGGGCTCCTCCTTATGGTCCTGGGAATCCTGAGCTCCCCTGTACTGGCTGCTGGGCTCCAGCCCCTGCTGTGTGGCCATCCAGTGGTCCCTGGCCTGTGGAGGAGGCAGCAGCGTGGGGGAACCCTGGGGCCCTGCCTGGTTTCACCTCCCTCCTCTCCCCCTGCCCACTCTGGGCAGGATTTGGGATTTGGGAGTGGGAGGCTCAAGCATGCTCAGTTTTTGCTGAGTGTTTCCCCTTGCTAGCCAGGGAGGGTGACCTCCTGTCCTCCAAGCCCCAGCTCCTCTCCAGCACTGGGAAGCTGTAGACTGGGATGTGCCAGAGGTCTGGCTCAGAGGCAGAGCAGCCTCTGCTGAGTCACACACAGCCCCATGGGCTCAGCCCAGGCTGTGCACACAGGGGGAGGGAAGTCCCCAAAACAGGAGGAGGGAGGAGGAGATTTCCTCCAGCAGACCCACTAGTTAGGGAAGAGCTTTTCACTCTGATTCCCTCTGATGAAGAGGAGTGTAAGGACACCCACGTTCCCAGTGCAGTCTCATTGCCAGAGGCCCTTTGCTGCTTCCCTGGGCACTGTGTCCCAGAGCCACCACAGAGGTGACAAGTGAGGAAGGGAGAGCTGTGGCCAGGCAAGCACAGCCTCCATCCCAGCCTTTGCTTTTGACCTGGAGAGACCTTCTGGTGGCCTTTCAGGACTTCAAGGGGCCTGTCAGAAAGATGGGGACAAACTTTTTAGCAGGGCCTGTTGGGACAGGACAAAGGGTGATGGTTTTGAAATAAAGGAGGGAGATTTAGACTAGAGAGAAGGAAGAAATTTTTAGCACTGAGGGTGGTGAGCCCCTGGCCCAGGCTGCCCAGAGAGGTGGTCACTGCCCCATCCCTGGAACCATCCCAGGGGAGGTTGGCCGGGGCTCTGAGCACCCTGCTCTAGCTGCAGATGTCCCTGCTCAGTGCAGGGGGGTTGGACCAGACGACCTTGAAAGGTCCCTTCCCACCCAAACCAGTCTGTGATTCTATGACCAGGATCTCCTAGAGGAGTGGAAGGGGAAAGGGGCCCAGGTGGAGGAGATCAGCCGCAGAGGGACCCTCTTGGAGAACCTGATCATGGAGATTACGGCCCCCGACACCCCGTCCAAGGCAGGTGAGTCGCAGCCTGCTCTCCTGAGGACACCTCCTTCATCTTCCTGAGCCTGCCTGAAGCAAAATATGGGCTTATTTCCCCCTTTCAACAAACTTCAGAGGTGATCCAAGTATCGTGGGGCTCAGCCCTGTGGTCAGATCTCTGGGGCTCGTGGTGTTCAGGGACCAGCCGAGCACTCAGAGCTCACCAACGTGGCTCAGTTTGCTGTGGCAGAACGAGCACAGAGTTACCCTGCTTGTGCCAGGAGCCCAGCCTGGGCACACATGCCCACCTTGGGAGGAGCACAGGAGCTTCTGACTGCTGCAGCGTGGGGATCCGGGCTCCTGGCCCTGCAGGAGCTCATGGAGGAGGCTCCTGCTTCGGCCTCTTGAGGGCTGGAGTGTTTTAATCAAATTCCAGGATTTGGGTTTAATATCTGGATGAAGCTGAAGACTGTGATATTCTGACGTGATTTAATAGTCTCCTTTTTGGCTTCAAGTCTGTGAAGCAATGAGATTATGTCTGGTTTGTTTGGAAAGCAACTGAAAGATGCTGTCCAGCTTGTGAGGACAAGTCCCTGGGCTCTCATCCTTGATGGGGCATTTCTGGGAATTCCCAGTCTGGATATTTTTGTTAGGCTTAACTTGATGAGCAGTTCAGTGAGGAACCTCCAAGAGAAGTGGGGAGAGGCTTGTTGTGGGTAACCCCCATGGTCACCCACCTGGTGTGACCAAAGCTGCAGCCTCTTCCATCCAGGAGAGCTTTCAAATGTGTGGTTAGAAAGAGAGAGACTTACCCAGTAATGCTGCTGCTGAGTCCCACTTTGGTTGCAAATGTCCCTGTGATATCTGGTGTCCAAGGAGGTGACAGTGGCACATCCTGTGTGGATCCTCTTGGCAAAGAGAGCGTCTCTGTGCACCAAGGCGGGTTGAAATAGTTCCATCCCATAATAAAAGGAGACTATGGGGGAGTTAATCTCTCCAGGGGAATTAATCCCTTCAGGGCAGGCTTCCAGCAGTCTCATAATTCACAAAACCATGCTCAGGGCAGCAGCCTCCAGGCGGGGAGCGATGACCAGTGGTCCCCAGTGTTACAGTCTGTGCAGGAGCCACGTCCACCCTGGTCTCAGGCAGGGCTGGGCAAGGTGCCCAGCTCCAGGCACCCTCTGAGGCAGGAGCAGCTCCAGACACCCCCTGAGGCAGGAGCAGCTCCAGGCACCCCCTGAGGCAGGAGCAGCTCCAGGAAAGCGAGGGGGTGCGGGTGTGTTGAGAGGAGGAAATATTTGGAGGTTCCAAATCGAGCCTGGTGCCGAGCCAGGGGCTTTGGCAGCACCAGTCATGGTGGGCAGTGTGGTCCGTGGCGTGGAGGGCTCTTCATCACTCACTGCCTGCATTCCTAACGGGGCTGTCCTGTCCCTTTCTGTCCCCATCCCCTCTGCCCAGGTGCTGCACTGCCCGCTCCGGGAGGGTCAGTAGGCAGCGTGAATGGATACCACACGTGCAAAGGTGAGCTCACCATCCCCTCTGTGCTGGCACACACGTGCCCAGCCCACTGAGCCCTCTCCCCCTCCATTCTTGTCTGTGTGTTTCCATCAAGCACAACGTGACACTGTCAGCAGCCTGTCACAAGTGAAACGAGCTTTGCGCGTTCTCAGCACATGCCCCGGGACAAGCAGGAGGTGTAGATGTAGCACTTGGGGACGTGGCTTAATGGTCATGGTGGTGTTGGGTTGGACTTGAGGATCTTAGAGGGCTTTCCCAACCTTCCTGACTCTGTGGTTCTGTGCTGGAGGGTGCAGGTCGGGCTGAAGGACGGAGAGGGGCAGCTCTGGGGAGTGCCGGCACCCTGACACCCCGCTGGGTGGTGTTAAAAGCTGATAAATGGGAGATCCTTTCCAGGCCTGCAATTAAATTTATTGGTTCTAAGGGATTATAACGGCATCCAGCCCTTCAGTCTGAGGAGCAGTTTTAATTACACCCCGTTACCTGCTGTTACTTCACCACTTCAGCCGAGAGAACAGGGGCATAAAAATGACTTTAGCTTTTGGTGTCAAGTTATGGAGCTCTGTCTTATCTATGACATTGTGAAAGGGGGGGGGGGGGCTCAGCTTGCTTTGGCCTCCCAAAAACAAGGGCGTGGGGCCAGGTTCAGCTGGGCTGAGGCTGCTCTCTGGGGACAGATCTGACCGAGATCCAGTGCGAGGTGTCGGAGGTGAGGACGCGGTACCGGGGCCTGGGCGCGGCGCTGCGGGACCGGCAGCAGCAGCTCTCGGCCATGCTGCAGAAGATGCAAGAGGTGCAGGAGGAGGCCAGCTCCATGCTGAAGTGGCTGGAGTCGAAGGAACAGATGCTGTCGGAGCTGGACGCCTCCTCCTCGCCCACCAAAACGGAGACGATGAGGGCCCAGGCTGAGCACAACAAGGTAACTTCTCTTCCAGGGCAAAAAAAACCTCAGCGTCTCCTCCCGAAGGTCCTCGGGGATGGGTTGTGTTGGGGCAGGACTAGAGGGATTAGAAGGAGGTTCTGCAGTGGGTTAAAGGGCTTTCCCTGGAAGGGATCACGGGCAGGTCTGTGGAGCAGGAGCTCATGTGCTCTGCTCGACCTCTTGGCTTTCAGACCTGCTGCTTTCAGGCGTTTGGCTCAGGGGAAAGGAGCTTATCTATAGCCCTGGTTACTGGGTCACTCCAGCTCCTCCTGGAAAGCAGTTCCCAGCCTTTCTCTGCCCCTGGAGCCAAGTTAGCTCATGATATTGCTAATAAAATGAAGTGATTTCATTAAAGACTAAAAGAAAGAAGCTGTCCAGCTCTGGCTTGTAGCTGCTGCTTCGTTCCTACTCGGTGATTTCATTCTTTTGGCCTACATCTGAAGAAGTTCAAATGATTATTTTCCAGGCATTTCTGGCTGAATTGGAACAGAATTCAGGGAAGATCCAGAAGGTGAAGGAAGCACTTTCTGGCTTGCTAGAGAAATACCCAGATTCTCCAGAAGCAGCGAACTGGAAGAAGATGCAGGAAGACCTGAGTAAGTGCCTGAAGCATTTAGTGAGGCTCCTGTCTTGAATCATTAGAAGCAGTTCAGGATTGCAGGATGATTCCAAAGTCACAGCAGAGCAGAGTCACTTCTCATTAAGATTCAGCAAATAGCAAACTTATCTCCAAGCTGTCTGGTGTACAAGGTGTTCCTGAGATGAGGCCTGTCATGATGAATGAAATCTCTGTGATGGATATATATTTTAAAGACTTGCCTCCTTAAATTACTTCTTTAAAAGAAAAAAAAGAAGGAAAGGGGGGAAAAAAAAAAGCATTAGGGACATGGGATGATTATTTTGATTAAAAGCTTCACTGCTTCATAAAATTCTAGTGATTACTGAGGCTCTCATAGGTAAGTAGGTGTTGACCAAACAAGACTGTGTATTTAAAAGGAAGCCCAGAGATTCTCTTCTTTGAAATAACAGGACTGTGTTAACAGAATTCTCCATCCAGGAGATGTGGATGTGCTGTGTGAGGACTGATACAGATGAGAGTATCCTCATTTGTCGAGCCAGGGATGTGAGATGGCTCACCCAAGGTTAGACCAACTCGTGGCAGTAGTGACCAGAGCACAGAAATCCTGCCTGCAAGTTTCTCAATGAGCTTCAAGGCCACGTAGCCATTAGAAATGGCCAACAGCTTGTTAGATGGCGAGCAGCTAGAGCCACCCTAGTTCTGTTGAGAAGCTGAGAAGGTTTCACCTCAGGGGAACTAGGGGAGGGGGATAAAAAACCCTTTTTGCTGGGAGGGATGGGCTGGCCAAGAGCACAACCACCACCAATGCAGCTGGTGCTTCAGATTGCAGGTGGGAAAGGGCCAGCCAGGCGACGGCCGAGCGGCAGCAGAAGCTGGAGGAGTCGGTGAACCAGCTGGCCACCTTCCAGGCTGCTGAGGCCCAGCTGCGCCCGTGGCTCATGGAGAAGGAGCTGATGATGAGTGTGCTGGGACCCCTCTCCATCGACCCCAACATGCTGAACGCACAGAAGCAGCAGGTCCAGGTGAGCTGGGAGCTCTGGAGGCGTCTCCACGGTGGGTTCGGGACAAAGGAGGGAGGGTGGCTCATCCAGTATGTGAAGTGGCAGCTCTGGGAGGGGAAGTGGTGGTGTTCTCATCTCTGGAGGGGTTTAAAAGCCATGGAGATGTGGTGCTGAGAGACATGGTTTAGTGGTGACCTGGCAGTGCTGAGTTAACAGTTGGGTTTGATGGATCATAAAGGTCTCCTCCAACCAAAACTATTCCATGATTCTATGGAAGATTGCACTCGGAGTTGTTTAAGTGCTCTGCCATGCAGTGGGTGTTGGGAGACCTCATGGCTCCTCTCCCAAGCCTTCCAAACCCTGCTGAGCAGAAACTCATGTGAATAACTTGAAACGGGTGCAGCACTCCAGCTCCTTCCCCGCACTGGATTGACTCATCAATGAATCACTTGGCCCCTCTCAGAGGGTGAAATTGCTTTAAACAAGACCTGTGCTGATGCTCTGCAGGACTTGCTAATGCTGCCCCTCTGCCTGCCCTTTCTGCACCTCCTTCTTCCTAATCCTAACATGTCCATAACTGGCCATGCCATCAAATAAAATGCCCCAGTTAACACAGATTTCCCTCTCCTCTAACTGGTTTGTGTTACGTTACAAGCAGCAGGACAAATAAGAGTGAGAGCAAAGTCCTGGAGTCGCAGACCCCTCCCAGCTTTTTAAGTTGCAGGGTCACAGTAGATCTGTGGTCTGCCCAACCCAGTTGCCTTCCCACCCCAGGGATTGTTCCTGCTGACTCCATGGGCTGGATCAAGCCCCTGGAGGTCTGGTTTGTTTTGACTGTGTGTACTTGGAGCTGTCAGTTTTATGCAAACATTTTTATGTTATTTCTGTTCCAGTTTATGCTGAAGGAATTTGAAGCTCGCAGACAGCAGCACGAGCAGCTCAACCAGGCAGCTCAGAGCATCTTGACTGGCCCTGGAGATGTTTCTCCATCCACCAACCAGGTGCGGGAAGAACTCCAAGGGGTTAATCAGAAATGGTCCGAGCTGACAGAACGCCTCAACTCCCGCTCCAGCCAAATTGACCAAGCCATAGTGAAGAGCACCCAGTACCAGGAGCTCCTCCAGGGCCTCTCGGAGAAGGTGAAGGCGGTTGGGCAGCGCCTGAGCGGCCAGTCTGCCATCAGCACACAGCCTGATGCTGTCAAACAGCAGCTGGAGGAAACCAGCGAGATCCGCTCGGACCTGGAGCAGCTGGAGGAGGAGATGGCAGAGGCTCAGACCCTCTGTGATGACCTCTCCGTCCTCATTGGGGAGCAGTATCTCAAAGATGAGTTGAGGAAACGTCTGGAGACGGTGGCGCTTCCTCTTAAAGGGCTGGAGGACCTAGCAGGTGAGACAGAGCAGAGAAGTTGCTTAAGAGATGTTGGGATGTCAACCTGCTTTTTGCCAAAGGGCTCTCCCCTCACTGGGTTTCTTAGAATAACAGGGGAAGCACCACTGATCACTTTTTAGGGTGCTTCATGGGTGTCTTAGCACAGGAGAGGTCACACTCCAGCCCCACCTGAGCATGGAGAGTGAGCAGAGATGTCCCACTGATGTGTCTCTTCACTGAGCCTGCCTGGCTTGCACCAGTGTGGCATGTGCCGGGCTCAGAAAAATGGTTCCTCAATTCAGAATGGGGCCTGGAGAAGACCCAGTGGCCACCCTCTAATCTTGGGATGCCTCTTCTGGTTTCTGAGAGAATAGAGAAGCGAGACTGCTGTGTTCTCATTGCCCGTTACTACTTCAGAAACTTCTGAATCAGTGAGCAAAAAAAGGCCCGTGATGCAATGGAAAACTCCTTCCTGTTCATCACGACACAGTTGGTGCATCTGAGATGATTTTCAATAATTGCACTTTGATAATTTGATTTGGGCTTAATTGTCGCGTTCTGATCTCGTTTCCCTTCCAGCCGACAGGATGAACCGGCTGCAGACCGCGCTCGCCAGCTCCCAGCAGTTCCAGCAGATGTTTGATGAACTCAGGACCTGGCTGGATGACAAACTGTGCCAGCAAGCTCAGAGCCAACCCATTTCTGCTAAACTGGAGAGGCTGCAGAGCCAGATTCAAGAACAAGAAGAGTTCCAGAAGAGCCTCAACCAACACAGCGGCTCCTACGAGATGATTGTAGCCGAGGGAGAATCTTTGCTGCTTTCTGTCCAGCCTGGGGAAGAGAAGACCACCCTGCAAAATCAGTTGGTCAGCCTCAAAACACACTGGGAAGAGCTCAGCAAGCAGGCTGCTGATAGACACTCTAAGCTCAAGGACTGTTTGCAGAAAGCTCAGAAGTACCAACGGCACACGGAAGATCTCCTGCCTTGGGTGGAGGACTGCAAGGCGAAGATGTCGGAGCTGGAGGTAACTCTGGATCCAGTGCAGCTGGAGGCAACTCTTCTGAGGTCCAAGGCCATGCTGGGTGACGTGGAGAAGCGCCGCTCCTTGCTGGAGATGCTGAACAGTGCTGCTGACATCCTGATCGACGCTTCTCAGGCCGACGAGGACGACATTCGGGATGAGAAGGCTGGCATCAATCAGAAGATGGATGCCATCACAGAAGAGCTGCAAGCCAAGACTGGCTCCATTGAAGAAATGTCACAGAGGCTCAAGGAGTTTCAAGAGAGCTTCAAGAACATTGAGAAGAAGCTGGAAGGGGCGAAGCATCAGCTGGAGATCTACGATGCGTTAGGGCCACAAGCCTGCAGCAATAAGAATCTGGAGAAGCTCAGGGCACAGCAGGAGGTGCTGCAAGCCCTGGAGCCACAAGTGGATTATCTGAAAAACTTCACTCAAGGTCTAGTAGAAGATGCCCCGGATGGATCTGACTGTTCCCAGCTCTTAAGCCAAGCTGAGGTGGCTCAGCAGGACTTCAAAGCTGTGAAGCAGAGAGTAAACGACTGCTGTACGCTCATGGAGAGCAAGCTGGAAGGGATTGGCCAGTTCAATAATCGGGTCAGGGAGATGTTCTCTCAACTGGCAGATCTTGATGATGAGCTGGACAGCATGGGCCCCATTGGGAGAGACTCTGACAGCCTTCAGTCCCAGGCAGAGGATGTCCGTGCCTTCCTGGGCAAGCTCCACAGGCTCAAGTCTGACATTGAAGCTTCTGAAAGTGAGTGCAAGAAGATGCTGGAGGACGAAGGGAGCCCCGATTTATTAGGACTGAAACGTGAGTTGGAGACACTGAATAAGCAGTGCAGCAAACTGACAGAGAGAGGCAGGAACCGTCAGGAGCAGGTGGAGATGACCCTGTCCCGTGTGGAGGACTTCTACAGCAGGCTGAAGGAGCTGACCCAGATGACAACCGCGGCGGAGGAGAACGAGGCGTTGCAGTGGGTGGTGGGAACAGAGGTGGAAACCATCAACCAGCAGCTGGCAGACTTCAAGGTAAGTCTTTATGCTCTAATGTTTCATAAATGGCATTTGGTGCTTGAAGGTCTGTCCAGTGTTGTGGTCTTTTTGTGTAGGACCTCTGGTCTTGGAGCTCTCATGGCTTTGTTCTTTGTTGCTATCGCGTCAGCGTTTTTGGGGTAGTAAAATGTCCTTGCTCTGGAGAATGTAAGATCAACTGCTGGACTTAGTCTGTGGTGAAAAGGTGAAGAAAGTTTTTGTGATGGGGAGAAAAAAAACTCTTCCCTCTTCTCATGTCCTTGTTCTGGAGGATGTAAGATCAACTGCTGGACTTGATAGTCTGTGGTGAAAAGGTGAAGAAAGTTTTTGTGATGGGGAGAAAAAAAACTCTTCCCTCTTCTCCTTGTGATGTGTAATGTTGGCATGCCAGGACCTCCTGGGCTTGCAGAAGTGGTTGGCATTTAGGTTCCGGGGGAAGGAAGGATGGTTTTGAGTCCATCAGAACCGTAAGTTGGCATCATCCAAGAGTCTAGACCAGATCAGATCATCCTACAGGTCTTTCTAGCTGGCCCACCATTCCTGTTTGTTGTTCGTGTCACCTGGGCCACGTATTACATCTGTTTTGGGGCTTTTGGGTACAAATAAAGCCACAGATGAACTGTGGGACAAGGAAGACACAGAGGGAATACAACCAAGGCAGAGTTTTGCTGTGGGCTGTTCATGTTTCCAGCAAAGAGCCAATGGAGATCATCAAAACTGGCATGAGATGCTGAGAGAGGGAAGAGCTGGGGGGTGCTTGGTGTCTTTTTGGTACAGTATTGCAGTGGTGGGTCCTGCTGTTACACCACATTAATTATATTAATGCTCCTTAGAAATTCTCTTGCTGTGAAACTTCTATTACTGATGTGCTCAGGAGCTGATGATTGGGCTGATTTACATCTGGCTGCTCGTTTCCTGGTGCTAATGGGGATGGGAGGGGGAGGAGTTTTTACAGCCATTTACTTTTCATCTCATGGCTAATTGATCCCGTTCCACCACTTAATAGCTCTGTGATGAAACCTTCCTCAGGACAAGGTATTTCTGTTTTGGGGGCTGCCTGTCCAAAAAAAAAAGAGCTTGGAAGTGTTACTTAGAGGGCAAACTTCAACTCCTGGGATCGTGTTGCTGTTAACTCTTGAGATGGGCAGTTTTGTCTTGAGTTTATATTGATGGGTAGGATTTAACTGCATCATTAAACACCACGCAGTCGCTTGGAATAAATATATCCAAAAAGGAGTTTCTAGTCCTTAAAACCAGTGAAACTTTCCTGCAGAACAAGGGATTATTTCTGGCTGAGCAGCTCTCATTAGAAATGGTGATGAAACCCAGCCCAGCTTAACCCATCCCAGTGCTTGCACTTGGTCTGTATCTTGGTGACCTTGAGGATGACCCTTTAAGACAACAGTGGCCAAGGCTGAATGAGCCAAGGATGCTTTGGGGAGGGGGTGAAGTGTCCTTACCAGGGATCATTCGTTGACTATGAAGGCCACAAGGTGCACTTGGAGTTGTGGTTCATGGAAAAATGAAAGCTGGAGCAGTGATGGTGGGTTTTGCTGTGTAATCACAGAATCCTGGAATGGTTTGAGTGGGAGGGGACTTTTCAAGGTCATCTGGTCCAACCCCCCTGCAGGGACATCTGCAGCTAGAGCAGGGTGCTCAGAGCCCCGGCCAACCTCCCCTGGAATGGTGCCAGGGATGGGGCAGCGACCACCTCTCTGGGCAGCCTGGGCCAGGGGCTCACCACCCTCAGTGCCAAAAATTTCTTCCTTCTCTTTAGTCTAAATCTCCCTCTTCTAGTTTCAAACCATCCCCCCTTGTCCTCTTCCAACAAGCCCTGCAAAAAAAAATCTGTCCTTATCTTTCTTGTAGGCCCCCTTGAAGTCCTGGCAGCCCCCAGCAGGTCTCCCCAGCTGGAGCCTTCTCCTCTCAGCTGCCCCAGCCCAACTCTCTCCTGCTGGGCTCCCAGCAGAGGGGTTCCCCCCTCGGGGCATTGCTGGGGCTCCTCTGGCCCCGCTCCAGCAGGTCCCTGGCTCTGCTGTGCTGAGGACTCCAGAGCTGCCCCAGCACTGCAGGGGGGTCTCCCCAGAGCTGGCAGAGGGGCAGGATCCCCTCCCTGCCCTGCTGCCCACGCTGCTGGGGGTGCAGCCCAGGCTGCTGGGGGCTTTTGGGCTGGGAACACAATGGAATGGCTGAGAATGAAGTGGGGGAGCAGTGAGAAGGGTGGATGGAGCAGTCGTGGTTGTGCAGCCGCGTTCCTCCCGTGCAGGGTTCATCCAGAGAACAGGGGTTTCTGCACAAGCCATCAGTGCTGCAGAGCAGAGCTTTGCAAAGCCTCACCCTATGGCTCTCTCCAAGGGGAAATGCAACCCCGGGTGTTGATCTTCACCTCAAGGGCATCACAGCACAGGCAGGGGCTGTCTGTGATCCATACATGCAGGAGGGGAGCAGTGGAGAAGTCTGGCTTGGGCTTTTGGGCTCTGTGGAGCACGGGGGGCTTCTCTTGGTTGCAACCAGGCTTTTGTTTCTCAGTGCTTAAGACAATACCAGAACTCACTTGGACTGCAAACGAGATGCAGAGTGTGTCCAGGGGCAGCAGGGACAGCTCCTCACCAGGCCCAGCTCCCCAGGGCAATGTGGGGAGGAGGGTGGGGGTGGCCGGGGCTCCCCAGGAGCGGTCGTGGTCTGTCTGTCCAGGAGCCAAAAATGGAGGCAGATAATATGTCTTAAGGCATTAATTTTCATGAACATCTGTGTAAATGAGATGTAAATTAGGCACGGCCCCAGGGCTCCAGGCAAGTTGCCAATGCAGCCCTGACAAAGGTGGGCACTTCTGGACTCATTGTGTCCAGATTTTAATAAAGAAGATATATTGAAGGCTCCGATGGAGCCATGAACAGATGACTTACAAAGCACCTTAAACTTGAAGCTTCCCACGTATTTTTCTTTTCCTGTCTCCAAACACTCTTCAAACTTGCCCCAAAAGGCCACGACCTATAACAAGCCCTTAACTTTTGGAGGACTGCCAGCCATGCATTTCCTCTGTCCCTCCCAGCCCCTCTCCCAGGTCACACTGGGACTAACCCTGGCTATGGGAGGGACAAGCCCTCTCCTGCTGGAAGTGCTTCTCCTGGCCGAGTTTCTTGGAGCCACGGGGCTGGGAAGCAGCTGTTGGATCTTGCCTGGGGGGGAAGTTTTGTTTGCAGGGGATGTTTTGGTTCGGGTGGGGATGGCTACAGTGAGGGGCTGAGCCATGGAAGGCAGAACAACGTTGCAGGGTGGACCTGGCCCTCAGGGGGTGAGGGAAGATTAGGCAGATAGACACTGATTTGAAGGCACTGTGGTGTTAGAGGATTGTATGAAACCCATCTGGAAGAGACTCTAAGGGGTCATGTAGTTTAGCCCCTAGTTCTATGGTGAGATCAAGTGCAGCTGAAAAGCATTTCTGTGGTTTGGATTCTGTGCTTATATGGACATCCTGATGGGTCACCTCAGATACAGCTACACTACAGGAGAAATAGCCTGGGCTTAGCCTGCTAGGCTGCCAGAGAAAAGGGCCTTCATCTTTAACTCCTCATCTTCAGCACGAGTTTAACCCACAGGACTGTCTTTCCACTGCTGCCTCTCTGAGGAGTCCCATTTTTGCATGAAAGAGTGCTAGAAGTTGAAGGAATCTCTCTGTGCTGTGTCTCCACAAGCATCACAGGGCTGAGTCAGGCTCTTTGGCACAAGGGACAAGTGATAGCCACCAGGAGAACTCCTCACAGGAGCTTTCAGGCTGGGGCATCTCTTCCCCCTCCGTGCTCTCTGCTGTCAGCTCAGGTTTCTCCAAGCTTAGGCTAATATTAAATTTTAATGACTGGAATCGAATGAGCCATAGTTGAAATGTTACTAAACATAACAGCCATGCTGATTCAGTTTAGCAAACAGCAGAATTCCCCAGGTACAGATGAGAGACTGAGGGTCACTGGGAGACACGGGGGCTTTCTCCATCCTGTGCTCTCCAGCACCAGCAACCTCTGAGCTGGAAGACCCTAAGCTACAAGTTACAAGACCCTCCTGAGTCTTATTCCCAAAAACTAATGCTGAACTCTGGATAAAGCTTGTGCTTCAGTGCAAGTGCCTCGTCTTCCTTTGCACACTCAAGAAGCAGAGCTGAGGTTTGCTGGTTCAGAGCTGTGGTGCCTGGAAGCCCCAGGCATGGGCTTGTCCCATCCGGTCAAAGGGCTTCCATCAGCCTGGGCTGCAGAGAGCTGATGGAATCAAATTCTCTGGTGTTTTTTTGGGAAGACATCTGTGCTGGGGTAGCTCGGCCTCTTGGCTAAGCGAGCTCCAGCCTGGGTTTTGTTTATCTTTCATATGGTGGATTTTGAACTTAGGTTTCAAAGCCTGGCTGGTACTTAGCACTGGCAGTTCTGAGCTGGGACCCTCTTTGATGCACCGTGTTGGTTTTGGCCAACTCTTCACATTGCCATATTTCACATACAAAGCAGAGTGTAACACTCAGCCCTGGGTCAAAGGTGCTAGCAGAGGTATTTAGGCTTGCTCTGAGCAATGCTCAGAAGTAGAAGGATGCTGCTGCCTCTTGTTGTGTCATGCCAAAGTGGTTTTGCTTTGCTGGGGACACCTTCCTCCCTGTGATGAAGATGAGAGTTCAACAAGGGCAAGTGTAGAGTTCTGGTGCAGGGAGGAATAACCCTCTGCAGTAGGACAGGGGAGGGGGTGACCTGCTGGAAATCATCTCTGCGGAGAAGGACCTGGGAGTCCTGGTGGAGAAGTTCACCAGGAGCAAGCAGTGGGCCCTTATCACCAAGAAGGCCAGTGGTCTCCTGGAGTGAATTTAGAAGAGTGTGGCCAGCAGGTTGAGGAAGCTTCTCCTTCCCCTCTACTCTGCCTTAGTGAGGGCACATATGGAGTACTGGGTCCAATGCTGGGCACCCTGCTGTGGGTGACCCTGCTGAAGCAGGAGGCTGGATGAGCTGATCCCCAGAGGTCCCTCC